TTCAATGAGCATTTATCATCATCTTGGGCTTTCTAGTCTCTATTCATAGCACGCTCAAAATTGAAAGTTTTGTTCTCTCTCTCTCTCCTCTCTTCTCTCTCTCCTCTCTCCTTCTCTCTCTCTCTCTCTCTCTCTCTCTCTTCTCTCTCTCTCTCTCTCTCTCTATCTCTCTCTCTCTCTCTCTCTTCTCTCTCTCTCTCTCTGCTTCTCTCTCTCTCTCTGTCTCTCTCTCTCTCTCTCTCTCTCTCTCTCTCTCTCTCTCTCTCTCTTCTCTCTCTCTCTCTCTCCTGTCTTTACCTCCACACCTTGTCTGTCTCCGAACTTACCAACCCTGTTTCTATAACCGTCTATCTATAACCCTCTGCCGCCAGTCCCTGGCTGGAATGTCGCAGCGGCGGCTGGTGGTGCCCCTACCGACACAGCTGCTCGCGGTGTGACTACCCAGAGTCGGGCAACTGCTGTAAGTCGGCTGTTTGCTTAGCTGTTTGTTTTCTATTTGTTTGTTTGTTTGTTTGTTTGTTTGTTTGTTTGTTTGTTTGTTTGTTTGTTTGTTTATTAGGGGTCTAGAATGCACCGACTGTGATAGTCATTTTACGCTCTATGTAGTTGGCTGTAACTGTGGAAAAGGAGTGCAGGAGAGAAGATGTTACACGGAGTCACGAGAAGAGAATCGACCTGTGAGTTTATCGTTGAGCTTCATCGCGAGCTGATCTGTATGCGTGGTTGTAAATTGTAATTGTGAATTTACCCGTGAGGTTATAATAAGTAAATTTATCTGTGAGTTTAGCCGTGAGTTTATCGATCAGTTTAGCCGTCAGATTATCCGTAATTTAAGACGTGAGTGTCTGTCAACTCACGACTGACCTTCGATATCCGTGTATCCAGTCCCCAGCTGTCGAGCCCATGACGCCTACGTGGGTATGCCCTGTCGCCGTGGATACAGCTGCTACCCGTGCAGGAAGACAAGCAAGAATCTCTGCTGTCGTCGCCGGCCGGTCTCACTGAGTAAGGCGGGAGTGAGGGAGAGAGAGAGAGAGAGAGAGAGAGAGAGAGAGGAGAGAGAGAGAGAGAGAGAGAGAGAGAGAGAGAGAGAGAGAGGAGGGAGGAGAGAGTACTTCGTACTTCTCTCCAGTTGCATATTTTACTTTGCGTGCTTGTACGCATATTCAAATGTCGATGTATAACAAATTTGAAATTACATTTGTTGACAAGTTTGCGTTCCACCCCACAGGAGAGTGCCGGTCCCACTGTCGCGGTCCGTACAAGCAGTGCTACCTGTATGGGTGTCCGTACGGTCACCGAGGATGGTGCTGTCGCTGGAAGATCTGCTGGGGACACTGGTGTGCGCCCTGTATCGGTGGACACTGTCTGGCGCGTGGACCTCAACTCAGCGCTAAGGCAAAGACCTACGTCGCAAAGGCCAAAACGATCATGGCAGCTCGTAAAGGCACTGGAAAGGTCGTACCGATTAAGAAGGGAGGGTAGATTGAGACAGAAGCTATCTGCGGATTCATGGAAAACGTATAGCGCGGATCTGTTTTGTTTGACGGTTTATTTTGATACTTCGTTTGATAAGCATATCTTTGGAAGTTTATTTGGAAGAGTTAAGCTGTTTTTGTATTTCGTATTTTGGCTTGTAAAGCTTAGCTCGAATGTCCTGGTGTTTTCTCTTATCAAGATCTTGTTCTGAAATAAATGGTGAACACATTATCCTCCTCGTTGAGTTTTGCAACTTTCAGCTGACCGATAGATAGCGCGGGAAGACGCGGACGTTCAATGGTGAATTTACATGACATGAAGATATTATAGGTGTCGTTATAAACTCTGAACGTCAAGTACAAGAGGATCTCAACCGGGAGAGCCTTTTTTCTCTAAGAAATTATGTAAGATGTAAGGGTAAATGGTGTCTGGTGAACTCCTAAATCTCAGGATAGGTAACACGATGCGCATAAAAGATGTGATGTGAGTATCACTATCAGTACCGTATTGCATTTCACCTAAAGTGGATACTGTAATGATTAAGTGTTTATTCTTATTGCTACCGTTCGACTAAAAATAGGAGGAAGTCTTGAGTGCCAGCCTCTCATCCAGCTTTTATTCTGAATCTCACTAATCTCAAGTGGCTGCAAAGTGCTGAACCGATTCGACTGCTAGGAGTTATTATTGGCTAATCAATGAAACCAGTAAAGACACCATTCCTGAAGTCGTAAAAATGAGTGAGTGAGTGAGTGAGTGAGTGAGTGAGTGAGTGAGTGAGCATGTGAGTGAGTGGGCAAATAAGTGAGTGAGTGAGTGAGTGAGTGAGCAACTGCCCGAATATCTGCCCTGTCTATACAGGTGCTACTTTGCAATGAATATGAGCTCCATGCTGTGGGCACATCTGACTGGCCGGGCTGAATGGAACGTGCCTCTTTAGCCCTCGCGGGCCCAGGGGCGTTTTTCGCCCCCCCCCCCCCTGGCGAATATTTGCGATAGCTCCTGAACGCTTAGGCTTAGGAATAGGAAAGCGAAACTTTCGTGTACCTTTTCTTCCATCAAGTTGACATCTTCTGAAGTAAACAAATGGACCTACCCTCTTGATGACGTCACAGGGTAGATATTTCTAAACACATTCACGGCAAATTTCGGCGTCATCGACGTGAACACCGAATAGCTGCCGATAAAAAGGGTTTGAGAGATAAAGACAAATTACGGGTGCGGTTGTGTAGCGTTTGACCTAGAGTAAAATAGAAAAATAGTTTTTGTGACCTGAGCTCAGAGGTCAGGTCAACAACCCCGGCCCTTCGGTATTAGTTTTCCGCAAATAACTTTCAAAAAAATGGTCCTAGCGCTACGGTACCAAGGCGTGGACTTCGGTAGTAATGCAATGAGCTTAACACTCGCACCGACGGGGGTCTGCGCCAACTTCGTACCGACGGGGGGGGGGGGCGGATGACCGCCCCCCCTGAGATCTCGAGAACGAAGCAAGATAGCGACAAGCGGTAAACGGCATCGGATACGCACGGACAAGGTCTACAATTTTTAAAAAGGTAATTTTCAGGTCAGGTCAAAGATGACGTCACAAGGGTCAAAAAAGTCAAAATGGCGGCGCTAGATATGGCGAGAGTTTTTCTCGAATAACTTTCGAACTAGTCAAGATAGGAACAAACTAAGGGCACCATCGTGATCCTCTTGTCAATCCGCATCGAATGATATATGAGTTGACCTCGAAAGGTCAAGGTCAAAGGTTGACCTCAGGTCACGTGATCTCGAGGTCATCATGTATATCAATCGATGCGTCTTGAGGAGCTGAACACAATATATGAGACCATCCGCGCGGCTGTATCTTGTTCCTGTACGGAGTTATTGGCAAAAAACCGCTGGTGACCTTTGATGACGTCACATGACCTTACAGCTGCCCAACAGCAAAACAGACCATGAGGTAGTGAAGGTTGATCGTATATGAAGTCATATATGGTATATGGGGCCATTCCGACCCGTTTTAGTGGTAAAAACAGGGAGTTGATTTTTCCCCATTGACTTATAATGTCGAGAAATTGACCTGACCTTAGGTCATCGATATCAAAATTCCGAGATATACAAATTGTAGCTACTAATAACTTCATAACATCCTGCGACTTTCAAAGGCCTCCGACATCTACTGTAGCTCTGGCACGGTGACAAAGTTGCAAAAAAGTGACTTGAGGTTGGGTCATTCAAAGTGACCTGGTGACCTGACCTTAAGAGTTAGGAGGTTGAAACTTGCACACCATGTGTAAAATTGATGAGAGAATAGTCGTACTAAATTTCGCGGCGCTACGCGCCGCGATTTTCCCGCTATTTGCGAAAAACCTCAGGGGGGGGGGCGGATATCCGCCCCCCGTCGGTGCGCGTGTTAAAATATGTGATCGACTGATGTTTGTCGAGTTATGTCAAAATCTATACTGTTAATCTGTTCAATGAGCAATGAGCATGAAATGCATTAAAAATTCAGGGCTGCGGAGTCAATGGATTTTAGGGTGACTCCGACTCCGACTCCGACTCCGGCTTTAAAAATCAACTCCGACTCCGACTCCAGCTCCGACTCCGACTCCGGACGGTTCTATTAAAATCCATATCGTGATACTGAAGCTCATAATGGATATGTTTTATCTTGCCTGAAACGATCCTTTGTGCGTTCCAGGGCTTTGCGTTGCAAATATGCATAAAAACAATATTCAGAATTAACAAGCAGGTTCTGGGGAATTTACCGTCTTCTGTTTCTTTCACTGAAAACGCTCGTCCAAAACAGCGAAGTGGTCATTTTTTTCGACAAAATCTAATTTCGAGAGCAGTATCGTCAATTCAACAGGTGCCGTGCATGACGTGGAGCCATGCAGCGTTAACGCCGACTCCGGAGTCGGAGTCGGTAAGATTTTGGCGACTCCGACTCCGAATCCGACTCCGGGCAGAATTGTCGACTCTGACCGACTTCAACTCCGACTCCGACTCCGACTCCGCAACCCTGTTAAAAATGTTCCGCTTTGTCCATGCGCTCTTGCTTTCTTTAACTATTTACCAATGACATTTGTCGAGCATGATTTCATCAGACTTCGGTCGCCGGCACAGTCATCATAGAGGTGACAGCGCTGAACAACAGTGGGTATATAGGGACGAGTCAGAGGTGTCTACATAAGGCACGGAAAAGTCAGGCTGCTAAGATGGCTCGTCACAGTCTGCTGCTGCTCTGGCTCAGTGTGATGGCTGCTTTGGGCCTAGGTGAGTGCAATTAGAAGCCACCGATACCAAATCCGGAGCTGTTTTAGTTACAAATGCGAAGGAGTGCCAGTGTTAAGTTTCACTGAGATGCCTTTGAAAACTATATCCAAATTGAAACGTTTTACAGTCCCAGTATAGCGCCCTATGACTTTTGTTTGTTTTTCTTCTTGCGTACATAATTATTAGGCAAAGTGCATTGGCACCTTTATGCTAATACCATAACTGCGTTTCGCGCAAACAGTTGCAAGCAAGGAAGAACCACCTCCAGAAATAGTGATGCCCGGATTCCGTGTCTATGGTCGTTGTGGACAAGACTGGCCCTTCTGCCCATGTGAGTAGACGTCAACAAGTCGACCTAAGGACCCGAAACGGGCATATATTTACTGTAACACAACAGATAGTCGTTGATGGTAGTTATTGCACTATCGTCCCTGTCTCAAGGTGAGATGATACCTTCACAGCGTTTCGGCCAGCTTCTTCTCCGGCCTGACGATAGCCGGAGGCCGAAACGTTGTGAGGCTTACATCTCAACTCGAGACGGGGCCCGACACCTACCAGCAGTGATGCTCACATCTCGTCTCAATCATTACGAAGGTTATAAATAACAGATCATCGTTATTGGTACATTTTATTGTTTAGTTGATACCAAAAAATATGCGAAGTCAGTCGTTTCGCTGCTTCCGCTTAAACAAAACTAGACCCTTACCAATGATCGCAAAATTAAATGCATAAAAATAGATCACGTGTGTGCAACAAGGAACCTTTGGTTTCAAGTAACATTTTCTTCCTTGGCATTTATTCAAATTCAAGTAACATTCTAAATTCAAGTAACATTTAGGGCGCGTCCTTCTAGCTAATTGTTATTTTGCGTTGACTTATCCATGCTCTTAACCGTAACTACACTGATGCAGCCGTGCGTTCATTATATTCTTCAGTCCCGTCCCAGGAGTGCAGAAACGGTGGCTGGTGGTGCCCCCACGGCTACACGTGCAGTGCGTGCGACTACCCGGAGGAGGCCAACTGCTGCTGTACGTGACGTCACTGGTGACAATACTCTGACGTTATCGGTGAAGAACCTGAGCAATAAAACAAAATACTATAACCGTAGCAAAGTATCCTGGGTACCTATAGTAATAATAAGATAGTAACACTAAACAAGAGTGACAAAGTGTCACAAGTAAATGTTTTCTTCCAATGCTTTGTTACTAGGTCATGAAAGATGTTAAGCTGAAAATGTCAACAAAAAGTTGGTACTATATAGTAATTCTAATGCACAGATATGAATGCATGCATGTATACTGTAGAGGCACATAAGTGAGAAAGCATCTATCCCAGCTGTCTGAACCTATTTCCAATGGGTATCTTAATTTCTGAGTTGGCACTTTATGACCCGACAAACCTAACAACTGTACCCATCTGCCGCAGATGCCAACTGTAAAACGTTCAGCGCTCGGCTCGGTCAGCCGTGTCGACGCGGCCACAATTGTTACCCGTGTGGCTCCAGCACCTATCCACTCTGTTGCAAACCACGAGCAGTCTCGCTAGGTGAGCAGAACACCATTATGAAAAGGTTCACTGCGATGCATCATTATTTTGTACTCAACATACGAATCTTGTGGTTGTGTTTTACGTAGCTAATAAAAAGATGAGAGATCAATGCTCAGTTGACATGGTCAGTTGACTCAGTTGACTCAGTTGACAGTTGACAGTTGGCATGGTCTGGTCCGCAGTCACTTATTTCCATATACCTTAAATCGCTGCCATAAAATCACTGCGGAATTAGTCCCCAGTGTCCTTCACTAGAGGCCTCTCATTTTCAGGTGAATGTCAGGCCAAGTGCAGCAGCCCATTCAAAGCCTGCTTTCTACATGGGTGTCCGTACGGTCATCTGGGCTGGTGTTGTCGCTGGAAGATCTGCTGGGGACCCTGGTGTGCGCCCTGTATCGGCAAACACTGCCTGGCGCGCCGACCTCAACTCAGCGCTAAGGCCAAAGACCTTGCACAGCAAACCGTAATGGATGGAAAGAAATTTCAGAAAGTTGTTTAATGAGTTGGCTACAAGCCTGGAGTGAGGGGAGCCGAGAGCTCCGTCCAATTTACACTGTCAGTACTGCATGTTTGGGCTTTTCTTTTGCGACTTTTTTCTCTTTTTTACGTACAACTGTTTATATATTTACCTATTGTAGCATCGCACCTTTACGATGCCCCTATAGAAGGTCTTAGTTTACATAGTTTGGTGCTTTTCAAATTTTCATCATCTATGTAGGTATGTATTGTAAAATTCGCTTCGCGTCGTTTATTTTTGTTTTATCTTATCTAACTTTTTTCGACATTCTAGTAACATCACGAAATAAAACAGAGTTTCGATTAAAGAAGTCTCTTATCGCTGATCATCAAATAATGAGATTGCTAACAGTGAGGAGATAAGTGCACCGAAATGCCCTTACAGTCAGTATTAGCCGTTTTCACGATGGGTTATCCGGCGAATGCACCTAATTTGACCAAATCTGCACCTAAACTCTTTTACAGCAAATATCTTTATTTTATGATTTTTGTCGGTGTTTTAATCGATGACACCCTCTGATAATATGACAAAGCAGGCATATCAGCAATTAGTGCAACCCTAGCTGATAGCTACTAAGAGATACACTAAACCTAATTTGACCAAAGCTGCACCTAATCTGCACCAAATGTGCACCAAATGTGTACCAGATGACCGTCATGAAAACGGCTAATGTATCTCGTTTCATATATATTGTCGTACAAGCTACGTGCAATCCTAAGTGAACACCACACACACACGCGCGCGCGCACACATACACTAAAACATGTTAAAAGACAGATTTACCCTACGCATAGTTTTGCATCATCACCTTCCGATTGGGTCCGGGCAAGAATACATAAAGGTTTGTTTTATATGCTTACGTCTTTACTACTGGAAGATATAGATTCACCTTCGTATTGTGCTTCGAGAGCTTGCCACCGACGTATATATTTTATATGCAGCATCAAAATAGTTCCCGTTTTAAATCTATTACTACTCCTTGTTATGTATAAGAAATGTGACTTTGACTTTGAGCCTGTAGTTAGTTCGAATGCACTGAATATGAATAAGTATTACTAATTGTCAAATATGGAAAGATGAAAACAAATTTAAATGTGGTGCTTTCACGCCGATTTTTCATTTCAAAGCCCTCACCTGCCCCCGGATCTTAACTGTTGAGTGTTGACACTGGGCCTATCGTTATCATTTAATAACGCACTGGGGCTCTGCACGCGTAAACTCCCGGGGCCTAATTCACCGGCACTGCACGCAGCCCACGGACGCTCTTCCACCAAGCACGAGTGGTGTGGCGGACTATCGATTCCTTCACACGACTGTGGATCATGGATGGTAGGAAAGGCCGCTTGATAAACTTGCTTTTGTAATATTTTTCGAATACATGTGTATTCAAAAATGCAACTGTTTACAGTAAACGTTTAAGAGCTTACGCTAAGTTTGTTTCTAAAATATTAGTGATCTAATAAAAGATAAGTGGTTATTCTGTTGAAGCATAATCAAGTGTTATTCCGCCCACATTAGGTAAAATGAATATGAATGTAAATGATGATTACTGCTCGCAGTGCCATTTTGAGCGTGATCTTTGCTTGACATTCACTAACCTGACTCACATGTCGCGCGGCCATTGCGTCAGGTACCGTTGTCATGTGCCCGTATCGGTGACTTTATGGTCATCGGGGCCCATTTAGGCATACCCATGTGAGCTTAATGCCTAAATAAAATAAGTGCGACCTCGATAGTAAGGTTATGTTTTATGAGAGTCATCAAAGTCTAGCTAGTTTCAGGCTGATACACATTCATCCCTTGTGCATTACCACAGCTTTTATTTATATCTCACGCTTGGTATTGTCTACATATAGGTAGGTGTTTTCAGTCTCCGGGACACACTCAGAAGCCAGAATGATCAAAGACCCGGTGAGACGATGCGTTTTGTTACGGTACGATGAGCTTATCAGAGTGAGGTATATACTTGAAGACACTTGATATATACTGAAGATATATACTTGAAGGGCGGTGTTCGAGACGCGGAAGATCTTATCGCCGTGTCTTCCCGAGGACCATGCGGCAGTGACACAGCGAGATAATATGCGGATACCTTCCGTGACTCTAGTGCTGTCCATTGTGGCATAAACAGTGCGAAATGGTAAGTCTTCTATTTATTTACTACAATAAAAAATGAAGATATACCTGCACGATAAAACACAAAGTCTACTAACTCTTGTGCGCTACTGCAAACGCATATGCCAATCAGAAAGCTTCAGCATGCTATGTTGACAAAAGTAACGTCATGCTTGTTCGGTCTGTAACCATAAATTCCACTTATACACTCACCCCACCGGTAAATCCCATATCGCTCATGCCAATGCACTAAAGATCGCAATGCTGGTCTTCATGCTTGGACAGCCTTGGCAGTAAGTTCACCTAAAGACTAGAAGTTGAAACGCTCCTTTAACTGACGTCTCATGAAATTCCCTAACGAGAACAACTGCCGCCTGGCTTCATGACTAGAGAAATGGCATCTCTACCGTCGCGAGGTGCCCCGTTCCACATGCGCGGCATTCACTCTTTCGGCTAAAACAGTCCAACCTCCTTCTTCTTCTGCACTCGCTTCCACTGCGGCATCTCCTGGAAGCGCTCCCAGCTGACGCCAAACACCTGCGCGAACTCCTCCGCCGCCAGGTACTCTTCTTTGCGTGTGGGGTCGACATCGTCGTGCAGATCATCGAGCTGCCGAGACCTCAGCACGGAGAGGGGGTACCTAGGTCGGTCAGGACGCTCCACCACTTTCTCCACTTGGGGTCGATTCTGCTGACGTAGCTCCCTCTGAACGGCCGCCCAGCTGGGCTGTTCAGACCACAGCGCGTCACTCCATGCGCCAAAGAACCCAGTGAAGGAGGGAGGCTCGCCATGCTGTCTAATCCTCAGCACTGGCGTGCCTGTTCCCCGACCAGAAGGATCCGTGCGCAGATACTCGATGGCTGCCTTTTCAGCGGCAGCGCGCTCCTCTCGGTTAGACTTGGATCCAATCCAAACAAACACCGAATCCCAGGCATCCAGCAACATGACGTCATCCTCGCAGAGATCCGATTGATCAAAGTCGGCTATCTCGCGTACGCAGAACGTTCCGCTTGCATTGGAGCAATGGAACAGACGTGCGGGCTGTGCAGTTTCTTCGGCCAGCCGCGGCGCGTTGGCATACTCCCCTCGACCTCCGAGAGCACTCCAGAATTCATCTGGTTCAGACCCCTCGGCGATGTCTCGTGACTCGGAACAGAGTTGTCCGGCGACTGACCGGGCCATTTGTCGCTCGTCTGCTGAAGCGCCTCGACCCGTCCAGACCCAGGCACCACCCGGTATACGCAGCACGAAACAGTCATTGGAGTTGAGAGACTTGGCGCGGCACTCGACCTGGACGGCCTTGGTGTTGAGAGGCTGAGAGCCACGCACCTGCGGAGGGAGCACGAGCAGTAGTGAGCATGAGGAAGGACGGTGATTGCTCATGAGCTGGAAGCACAGTGACAAAGGTTGGAAGGAATTTTTATGTCGTCAGTCTTAGATGTTTCAATCAAGTATTATAAAGACTATATCAAGTATCATAAAGCATGTCTTCCAAACTATTTCGTATAACACTTTGCTCCAATTTATGTAAAAGTATAGATCAATTGTTGTTTGGCAAAGTAGTTTCAGTGGAATATGAAAATTGAAAATACTATTACGTGGCGCTCCACCTCTCTGGGCATACTCCGCTAATGTCGTGTCTCAACTGAATTAAGAAGATTCCTACTCACATAAAGGAAGCAGGGAGTAGGGAGTTCCCATGCCACGGGAGCACCTGAGGTAAGAAGGTACCGACTCACCTGAAGAAGGTAGGTGTCGGCTAGGTCCTGATCCTCAGCTCCAGGCCCATCAAACGAGGAAGCCTTGCCACCAGCATACACGATCATCCGACCTCCGAAGATGGCCATGAAGTGGGGCGGTTCCTTTCCCTGAACCACGCGAACCTGGACCGGACGACCGCCCAGCTTATCGTCCAGCTCGACAGTCTTCAAGGCTGCAGTTCCGCGTTCGTCCTGACTGCTGTGAGCTCCCAGCCAGTAGTAAAGAAGCCAGTGGTCTCGGCCAGATACCTTGTACGCGTACTGCACCACGTAACAATCACCTCCGAAGAAACGACCGTGCTCGCTGGTCGGAACTAGCTTCAGGTCGAAGTTCTGCACACGCCATACGGTGCATTCGCCCGTACCGTCGTCAACCATTTGTGTTTTGGCGGCCAGTGCACGATTGGCGTGAAGCATGGTAGCGTCAAATCCAGTGGGAGGAGGTCGGGCAGCGATCTTTCCAGAGGAAAACTGACGACCGAGACCAACCGTTGCGTTCTTCTCCCTCCAGGATCGGAACAGACTGCGGAACTCCGGCGGCTCGCCACCGTCGATCACTCGCGTCACCGGAGTGTGGCTCGGGTATCCTTTCTTCTGGACGAAGCCCTGTGCGTTGCGCATACCCTCGGAGCGCTCCTTGGCGGAGGCGCCCCGTCCCACCCACAGCCAGATGCCCTGCTCGCCGTTGTCGACGATGAAAGAGTCGTCTGAGACGAGATCCTCCTGAAGCAGTGGCCCGTGCTTCACCTCCGTCACCTGTCGACAGACAAGGACGCACAGACACACAAACGCGTCAGATGATTCACATCATGAAGTGTGGCATTAAAGGTGCGCACATGCTCAGTGCCGAAATAGGATGACGCCAGAACACGCGAGAAGGTGATTTAGGTATAACCTGTTCAACCATTGAGCCTGCATTTTAGCCCTCTTTTTCCTTTTCTATTATTTTTCTGGTTCCCTCCCGCTTCACAACCTCTCTGGCTCTCCTCATCATCTACCCTATCAATACCCTTTTCACCCATTCCTATATCTATCCCTTCCCTTCCCGCCCCTCACCTCCCCTCTATCCCTTCCTCCATACCCTCCCTCTCTTTGACCCCGTTACTCTCTCCCATACCCTCACCTGCAGCGTTCCGCTACTCTCTCCCATACCCTCACCTGCAGCGTTCCCGCTACTCTCTCCCATACCCTCACCTGCAGCGTTCCGTCGGCGTCGGAGCACCTGAACAGCCGCAGCTGTTCGGCCAGTCGCCTCTCCTGCGCCGCGTCTGCCGAGTCCGGCTCCGCAAGCGCCACCTTCCTCTCAGCCAGCGGCAGCAGCTGCTCCAGTCGACGCAGCTCGTCCGGCGGAAGGCTCTTCTCAGAGCCGGACTCCACCACGACTACGATCCCTCCGCCGTGTTCTGCTTTGAGGCGCTGAGCTAGCCGAGCGCCC